ACCGCCTGAGCCTGACCCCTTGTTACTTGATATATCTTGTTAGAAGAGATTACCAAACGAAACTATGTTGACTATCCAGTAAAAATTTAAACACTTTGTTAAATGGCTTTGCAAAGCATCTTTCATCAAACTTTAAAAAAATTTCCAACAGTTAATTGATGTAAGACTAACAGGCCAATAATTACTGGACAATTTTTATTACATCCTTTGAAAAAAAGGAGTGACACTTACTAACTTCTAATCCTTTGACACCTCCCCACTATTCAAGGACTTACAAAATATTGTAGAAAGTGGCACACATATCTAATCATTGACGTCCTTCAAAACTTGACAGGCTCAGATTTAATGTAATCATCTAGTTCGATCTTGTTTCCATCTATCAACTGTTCAAGATGACGAATACTGCTAAAATCGTCATTAGTAAAAACTGAAGACAAAGCAGAATTTAATAACCCACCCATCTCATAATCATCAGACACAAGCTATCCTTATCATCTCTAGAAGGCCCTATCTTTAACATTTTGTTTACCCTTAATGTGTTTAAAGAAATCCTTACTGTTAATTTTGAAATTTTCAGCCAACCTTTTTTATACATCTTTTTTGATGTCCTAATTTCCAATTTTACCAACTTTCTTGATGTTCTATAACCTTCTAAATCTCCTACCATACCAGTCACTTAAATTTTTTAAATTTGTGATGCTTTTATTTAATTTTATCTCTTATACACTTTGTGAGCCAACCTGGTTTTGTACTTGAAGCTACCCTTTTCTTTATATAAGAATATGTTTATATAGAATATTCAAAAACTAATCTTTCAAAATTTTTCATATTTGATCAGTGTCTCCAAATAACTCAGTTGCCCAATTCACAACAAATAATTCTTGTTGCATCCCTTCAAAATTTGATTTTTTGAAATCTGTAACCAAAATATCATTATTCCTTATCTCCATATGCAGCAAAACATAGAGGAATTAATGATCACTTGCACCAAAATGTTCCCCAATTTCCACCCTCTCAACCATTTCTATATTTCAAGTTAACAATACATCTGAAATAGCATTGTTTCTTGTAGATTCCTTGACAAACTGGTGAAGAAAACCATATTGAACAGTTTCCAAAAACCTTTCTCCCTTATGGTTTCACTCCAGCATTTCCCAATCTATATGCTTGAAATCAAAATTACCCATAATTATGACCTCACAAACAGCTGAAATCTCACAAATTTCATCACTATCATCTGGTGGTCTGTAACAAATTTCCACTAAAATCCTTTTCCCTTTATATTTGCTAACAGAAACCCTAAAGTCATCTATATTATTTCTTATACATCTCGCATTGCAATAATAACAATTAAGCCTATTCTTAGAACTACTTCTATACTCATTTCATATGCTAAACTTATCTTATTTTTTGCATTTAGTTTATCCTGGCCCTCACCACTGTCTAGTCATAGTTTAAAACTTCCATTGCAGCTGAGTTAATAGCCCTTGCAAACAAGCCAGACCCTACCCTATTTAAATGTAAACCATCCATTCCAAAAAGCTCCCTTCTCTCATTAAACTGATCCCACAAATCCAACCAGCCTTAGATATTAACCTAAGCCTAGCACTTAGCCATAGTGACCTACTAATTATTTCATCCCCACAATAAATTCTTGGCCTTTTTCTTTAAATTCCTTTATCAACCACTTGTTCTTATTAATTAGCTCCTCTGAACTACCTTTCCCTACATTATTAGCTCTTATGTGCACAACAAAAACTGCATCATTGATAGCCCCCTTTATTATATCTCTTGCTCTGCCAGTCTTATCCTGTGCCTCTGGGTAGCATAATTTAATTCTTTTCTCCCTGTTTACTTTACAGACTATCCTATTGTTACATCTCTGTTCGTTAGTTAATTTTCCGTAAAAATTCTTCCCAAAGAATTTTACTGATACAAGTCCTTTCTTAAATAAAACTGGTTTATTCTTTCTGAAAGAACTTTGTGATGCACTTAATTTCAACAGTCGCTCTATAACAAACGCTATAATTCACAACGAACTTCTCCCGTGCTCAACAATATTCTTACTCATTACCTTACGTTGTTTCTTGGCCAGTCTTATATATACAAAACTACCCCAATCTAGCAGTCTTCCGACATTTCATGAAGGTTCGAGAAGGAAGTGGCGTGATACAAGCGTTACGTGACCATCGCTGACACAAC